ACCCAGGAGAGTCACATCATTTTTAATAGCGAGCCTCAAATGAAAATAAAAGCTGTATCCGTTTGCACGGCAACTTGAATTCCCACACAGGCTGAGACATCTTTCTGGGGAGAAACATGCCGGTCACAAGTTAGTGCCACACCTGGAAACATGAACGGGGGATGTTCTTTTTGCATTCAGGGATGTTTTGTGGACCGAGTGTTTTTATTCCAGACCAGTGTTTCTTAAACTTTTTAAGAGTGAGGAACACCAAGTATTTTTTGTTGAGCAAAAAAATAAAAAGGTTAGGGGGAAGGGGAATGGGTTGGGGGGAAGTTATTGAGGGGAAAAAAGGGTTTGGAGAAAGTCTGGGAAGTTATTGAGAAAAAAATGTCACCTGCCCCTTTAAGGGTGGCCATTTTGAATTCTGTTGTTCTCCACGGCACATCGGTGTGCAACGGAACACAGTTTAAGAAACACTGTTCCGGACGGTTCCCACCTATCACTGCACAGAAGCATCAGGGCAGTGATGGATTACACCACATGTGGGACAGAACAGGGATCTGACACCGTAACAAAGGCTGGGCATTAGGGAGGTCTTTTCGTTGTACCTCATCATAGTTTCCCTCATGCATTGAACAGCACATGGGAGCTGGTTGGGCCCTTCTAAGACTCTAACCCCCCCACACATACTCATCCCGATTACCATTGCTGACTGCCCATCCTCAATCACCTGCTACTCATGGTCATCTCGTTAACAAGCATTGGCATTTGTGACAGCGGCAGCAATCAGCAGTGAGTGTGATGAAGTGGGGATTGTATTTGCTGTGTTATGTTGCATGCGATTTCGAGTGTCCTGTATTGCTTTGTAGTTACTGGGTGCACACCTCAGTTTCCCTGGGTGCTGCACCGGTGCGTGGATGGGGATGGGAATTTTGGGTGTGGCTCTCACTGAAGGGAGTTAGCCCCACACTGCCCCAGCCCTGCACGTACACAATGGCCGAGGCTCTCTTATCACTTGAGCCTGGCAGAGGGTGCAACCTCATGACGTTTTTTGCCCAGGAAGTTGAACTAAGAAGGAGGCGGGGCTGCCTGCAGGCTGGGACGGGTGGCTGAGTGTGTGTGGAAGTATCAGCTAACTTAAGATGCAGGGAGGGAACCTAGGGCCCTGGGCCTCCCTCTCCCCAAGATGGGTTTTACTGACGGCTCCTGGCCCCTGGGCTAAGTCTGTTCTACGCTGTGTCTCTAGGAACCAAGAACCCTTCTGCTTGACCTGCTACCTCTGCCTGAGGGTGGGAATGCAGGGCCCGGTGACTCCCTCACACCTTGGTGACAGTGAGAACCATAAACCAGTTTCCATCCACTTCTGGTCAGGGTCCTACTAGCTTACAAATACCCGGGGGATGCCAACAGGGCTATTCACAGGGCTAAAGTCAGGCACTTGCTTAAGCACCTTTCTGAACGGGGGACCCACTCAAGAAGATGCCACAGGACTGTATTCATACAGTAAGCGAATGCCCACACATCTGCCATCTGCGCCCCCTCGATTCTGATGATGTCATTTCAGAGCGACGACAGCCGCCAATGGGCAGCTCAGAAACGGGAACAAATTTGGAACGAGCAGCTAAAGCACGTCAAATAGGAGGCCCCCGGAGTTTGCAGGAGTCCGGGTTGTAGGAGAGGAAACTACATCACAGCACGGCAGGTATTGTGGGCATCACATCTGGGGCAGGAGCCTCACCCCCGAGCCACCTAGTGGAGGCGTAACGAGTCAGAGTCCAAAGAGGAAATGTGTCACAAAGGCGAGCAGTAAGCCAGGAGAGTCACATCATTTTTAATAGCGAGCCTCAAATGAAAATAAAAGCTGTATCCGTTTGCACGGCAACTTGAATTCCCACACAGGCTGAGACATCTTTCTGGGGAGAAACATGCCGGTCACAAGTTAGTGCCACACCTGGAAACATGAACGGGGGATGTTCTTTTTGCATTCAGGGATGTTTTGTGGACCGAGTGTTTTTATTCCAGACCAGTGTTTCTTAAACTTTTTAAGAGTGAGGAACACCAAGTATTTTTTGTTGAGCAAAAAAATAAAAAGGTTAGGGGGAAGGGGAATGGGTTGGGGGGAAGTTATTGAGGGGAAAAAAGGGTTTGGAGAAAGTCTGGGAAGTTATTGAGAAAAAAATGTCACCTGCCCCTTTAAGGGTGGCCATTTTGAATTCTGTTGTTCTCCACGGCACATCGGTGTGCAACGGAACACAGTTTAAGAAACACTGTTCCGGACGGTTCCCACCTATCACTGCACAGAAGCATCAGGGCAGTGATGGATTACACCACATGTGGGACAGAACAGGGATCTGACACCGTAACAAAGGCTGGGCATTAGGGAGGTCTTTTCGTTGTACCTCATCATAGTTTCCCTCATGCATTGAACAGCACATGGGAGCTGGTTGGGCCCTTCTAAGACTCTAACCCCCCCACACATACTCATCCCGATTACCATTGCTGACTGCCCATCCTCAATCACCTGCTACTCATGGTCATCTCGTTAACAAGCATTGGCATTTGTGACAGCGGCAGCAATCAGCAGTGAGTGTGATGAAGTGGGGATTGTATTTGCTGTGTTATGTTGCATGCGATTTCGAGTGTCCTGTATTGCTTTGTAGTTACTGGGTGCACACCTCAGTTTCCCTGGGTGCTGCACCGGTGCGTGGATGGGGATGGGAATTTTGGGTGTGGCTCTCACTGAAGGGAGTTAGCCCCACACTGCCCCAGCCCTGCACGTACACAATGGCCGAGGCTCTCTTATCACTTGAGCCTGGCAGAGGGTGCAACCTCATGACGTTTTTTGCCCAGGAAGTTGAACTAAGAAGGAGGCGGGGCTGCCTGCAGGCTGGGACGGGTGGCTGAGTGTGTGTGGAAGTATCAGCTAACTTAAGATGCAGGGAGGGAACCTAGGGCCCTGGGCCTCCCTCTCCCCAAGATGGGTTTTACTGACGGCTCCTGGCCCCTGGGCTAAGTCTGTTCTACGCTGTGTCTCTAGGAACCAAGAACCCTTCTGCTTGACCTGCTACCTCTGCCTGAGGGTGGGAATGCAGGGCCCGGTGACTCCCTCACACCTTGGTGACAGTGAGAACCATAAACCAGTTTCCATCCACTTCTGGTCAGGGTCCTACTAGCTTACAAATACCCGGGGGATGCCAACAGGGCTATTCACAGGGCTAAAGTCAGGCACTTGCTTAAGCACCTTTCTGAACGGGGGACCCACTCAAGAAGATGCCACAGGACTGTATTCATACAGTAAGCGAATGCCCACACATCTGCCATCTGCGCCCCCTCGATTCTGATGATGTCATTTCAGAGCGACGACAGCCGCCAATGGGCAGCTCAGAAACGGGAACAAATTTGGAACGAGCAGCTAAAGCACGTCAAATAGGAGGCCCCCGGAGTTTGCAGGAGTCCGGGTTGTAGGAGAGGAAACTACATCACAGCACGGCAGGTATTGTGGGCATCACATCTGGGGCAGGAGCCTCACCCCCGAGCCACCTAGTGGAGGCGTAACGAGTCAGAGTCCAAAGAGGAAATGTGTCACAAAGGCGAGCAGTAAGGAAGGACCCAGAGGGGCTGGCAGTCACTGGCCAGGGTGGGATAGGAAGGATTGTTTTCGGAAGGATCCTTAAAAATAAGCCGCTTGTGCTGTGCCGACGAGAACCTCAACAGCTCGCCCCCATAACTAACGATAGGTGGTTTTCTCTAATCCAGGGACAGGGTGTGTTTTTTTTTTTTTTTTTTTTTTTTTTTTACAGGTGCCTAAAGGAGTTAGGCACTTACCTCCCACTCAATTTCAATGGAAGTCGGTGCCTAACTCACAGTCTCCTGCCAAAATCCCAGCCATAATTAATAAATGCAACAAGACTCAGAAATGACAGTGTACTAAGCATGATAGCCACCATCCCGGCCAATCCACGAGTTGCCAGAGCTGAACAGCCAACCCTCCATAGCTGCAGGCAGCTGTAAGAATTCATTCTCAGGGGATCGGGTGCAGGAGGCATTTCTACTGCAATCTCCCCTGTGGGATATTTAAACATCCCCAGAATCTGGTTTCTTCTTCCACAGGTTCTCTGCTGTCACTCTCGGCCGCATAAATGACTTTACTTAAAATTATCCAAGTCTCTGGGGTTTAATTTTCAATAAAATTTTACTCTATTCCTCTTTACTTTATGTTGCTATTTCTTATTCAGCAGCTTTTGAAAGGTACTTATCTCCTGTGCGGCATACAGATTTGCTTTCCTGGCCGCCCCTGGCATTTCAAGAGAGGCGCAAACCAGTCAAGAGACGTCCCACATCTCCCTCTCGCTTGCTACAAGACGGCTAAGAGAATTCAAATAAAGTCTGAAGCTGTCAATGACACTTCCCTCCTCGTATCTAACCTTAGAGCGGCCGCCCACTTCACTGCTTAACCAGCCCCCAACGTGTGAAAATATCCTTTAAATACAAAGGATTGCTGAAGACAGGTATTTTTAGACACCGTGAATACGCCAGAGTCCAAGGGCAACAGTGGGGAGTCAGACAAAAACAAGGATTTATTTCCGTCAGCGGAAAGTACACTTTTAGCAAGTCAAAGTTTGGCCTTTTCCAGCTGTAACCAAAACCAGAAAGTCTCCTCCATGGACTGATAACTGCTCTATCGCTTCTCCCGTCTGCGATGCAGTGATGGATGAGCTATGGAAGTCACTGGGCAGAGGGAGGGAAGGAAAAGCCTGTAAGAGCTGGACAACTGTAGACTGATTCTTCCGACCGGCAGCAGGATTCGGAAGTGAAGCTTTGCAAAAGGCAGACAAGAGTCTAAAACAGAGAGCTGCTGGAAATTGTTCCGGAGATCCTCGCCGGAGGCGAGGGGCACGAGGAGTACTTCACGCTGACCCTTTGTCGTGATACAGCTGAACTTTCCGTGTCCGAGGTGAGAACTACATATAACTACTGAAATGAGGGGGAAGGAACTTTGGATTTTCTTCACACATTAGGACTAGATTCTGGAAGCTTCTAGACCCAGGTCCTACAACCCCTATCCACTACTCCGCTGGCTCAAAAGGCCCCCAATGCTGGCTGATCTGGCAACCGGGCAATTCTCCCTGCACAGGGGGTTGACATCTTTATCCTCTTCATCTAGTCTATGTTTAATCAGGGGACCCCCTTTTAAGGACCTGCCCTTCTTCAAGCTTGGCAAGTCTCTCCTTTGTGCTGGGTGGAGGCTGATTGTGCCCAGAGGAACTCTTGAACCCTTCTTGCGCATGATGGAGGATCTGTCCCCTGCTCCCCGCCACTGTGTGGCCTGCCACGATGCCTACAGAACTGAGTGGAAGTGCCTAGTGGGGAAAATAAAAGCACACGGGTACCTAGAAGGCGCAAGGACCCTCGTCTCTTGTGCCCCTGGGTACAATATCCTCCAGGCCAGTGTGAGTGCTCCTGGCTCACCCTCGGGTGTACAAAAGGCAGAAAGAGGCCACAAGACACTCCCTGCCTCACCGCCAAGCAGACCGGGTGACACCCAAGAGTAAAGCCAGCGAGCGCCCCCTAGAGGCTGGTGCGGAAGGCAGGCTCTAGTTCTCCGAGGTGCGTTTCGCTGAGCGTAACGTCTTCCCATGCTCTCCTCAGCTGAGGTGGCTCCCTGCCTCCGCGCTCCCAGGGCAAAGGCAACCAGCTCGGGCCGTCCCCGGATGTCCCACGGTGGCGTGGATCCTCAGGAAATCTCAGCGTTGAGTCAAAGCATGCAGCCAGGGAAATGTAGGGGGGCTATTAGGAACCGCTGTCTAATTTACAGGGCAGGGGATGACTGGGAGAGGTGAGCGTGGGAGCGGGGTGAAATCCCCATCATTGGAGGTTTCTAAGAACAATTTGGACAAAGACCTGTCAGGGATGGTCTGTTGACTTGACCCTTCCTCAGAGCAGGGGGTGGGCTTGCCCTTTGAGGTCCTTTCTAGGCCTGCTTCTCTATCAACTCATCAAAAGAACTGCATCTTGTCTGGATTAGCCAGGATGGGTAGAGATGGCGTTCTGGCCTCTGTTTGCCAGAAGCTGGAAATGGATGACGGGATGGATCACAAGATGATTCCCTGATCTGTTCACTCCCTCTGGAGCATCTGGCATTGGCCATGGTCTGCAGACAGGATACTTAGCTAGATGCACCTTAGCTTTGACCCAGTATGGCCAGTCTTGTGACTCGACGCATCCTCTGCTTACAGGACATGACCTTCAGCCTGGTGGAGACACGGGAGCTAGACTCAAAGTGTGGGTTGAAGCACAGCTAAAATGTCGGTTGGCTATATTCAGCTGCCTATATTCAGCAGTAAGAAAATCACATCCTGCTGCTAATCAACTCTGCCTTCATTAGCACATTGCTCTCGCAGAGGGAGGATGCTTTGACATTTGGTAAAAAAAGAATTACAAAGAACACCAGAACCTACTCTGGGTCCCCAGAATTTCTGCGCCAAAGGGTTTCCATTATATCGCTCTCTCCAAAAACCCTCCCTGACCCTTTGTTTTTGAACTTTTACAGTACGGAATCAATTGAAGCAGCCAAACCCGCCCCGAGCCTTGATCTGTGATAATGGCATACATTTTTACTTAAAACCCCCCAAAATAAAGCAGATTGTCATGGTTGTCTTATAACCAAAAATCTAAAACAGATGATCTCTAAGCCTTTTATAA